AAAATTTTATTTTATTATTTATCAAAATTTTCCCAAAAGAGTAAACACAGTTATTATTAAAATGTATAAGCGCATAACACATAATCTCAAAACGAATCTCAATTAACTTCTTATCATAAAATCTACAACACGCATGCTCAACTCAATAAACCAGTCAATTAAAAGCAAGACTTGTGCTAAGCGCAATCAAAAGCATTTGTCACAAACAAACATTTCCAATGAATTTTCTACTTTCGGCAAATATTTAACACCACCAAATTACTGTTTGCTGACAAACAGCCGAAAAAAAGTTTGCATTTTGTATTTTTTCTTATTTCTTTGCTTTGCACCCARCAATCAACGACGAATTCGCTTGCATTTCCTACATGTCAACAACCAAAAAATGGCAATTTGCCTCTTCCCTTATGCGCTGCGCTTTAGCGTCGTACACTTCACTTTGCACTCTGCACTTTTCGAGCGCATCTTCAACGAAAATGCACTTAAACACTTGGTGTATTGTTGTTTTTGTTTTAATTTTTTTATTTGTTGGTTTTTTGTGCGCTTTCGGAGAGTTTTTGCCATTCGTTTGTTGTATGTAATTTTTTATTTGTTTTTGTTGTGTTTGTTTACAGCGTTTTTTCTTTTGTTCGTGGCTCGCTTTGATTTTGGTGTTTTTCTTGCGCTTTTTTGCCTTATTTGCAACACCCAAGTTCGCACTTTCGATTTCGTTCACAAGCGCATAACGTTTATCATCTTCTTTATTCGCTTCGTTTTATCGTGGAAATATTTCCTTAACCTTATTTGCTTCAACGCACCAAAAACGAAAAAAAAACTTTTTATTAATTCGTTTCTCTCACTTCGTTTTATTGATTTTAAATTCGTTTCTGACATGCTTTATTATATTGCTGCTTTATGGAATACTATTTATTGGAAAAAATACAAAATATACTTTTTTTTTTTTAAGAAAGTCACACGATAATGCTAAAATTCACCTCTGCGCTCGGCTCCAAGTAGTTTGGCGCTGCCGTTGGAGACTTAGCGCGCAGCCCGTTCACACAGACGTTAAGCGGAGTTGTACTGCCGGATCCGCGTTCGTCGACCCGATCGACACGAACACTGAAAAAGAACTAAACTCACAGCGATCGCCAGACAACGCTGCTCAGCTTCGCTGCCACGACGATGGCGATGGCGATGACGAAGATCGGCCGAGCACCACCATCAAATATGGAAAAATAAAAGAAGCTCCAACTGTCCGTTTTTGTTGTTTGCCATATTTGTTGTTGTTGTGCACGTTCACAAACTCGCGCGCTTGCTCAGCTGTGAGCTTCGCTTCTTGTTGCTGTTGTTGTGTTTTGGCCAGCAACAWTTCGGTTATGTTCGAAGCGTGTTGCGAAGGTGTTGAGCGCCATGCGAAACCGCGTTAAACAGCTGAGCGTACACACCTGCCTTACTGGCTGTCGTATTGCTGTTGTTGTTGTGCCAACATGTTGCGTTTGACAGCCAAAGCGGCAGTGTTGCACAAACTTTTCGKCTGCTCACAAATTGTMACTTYRCATAACAGTGTTTTTCYAACRTTTGTTGCTGTTGTTTTTGTATTTTCACGTCACGCTGACTCAGCAATAATATCGCGTGGTGCGATCTGCCTTGTCGACCTTGACTTCCTTCATCATCATCTCACACTCAACATTTGTTTGTTGACACATACTTTTTTAGCGTCTTTTTTGTTGTTGTGCGACTAATAGAAATTTTTACGGAAGCATTACCGGGCGGTTTATCGATACTCATATATTGTTAATGTTGTTGCTGGATTTTTTGTTTGCTTACTCTTAGTTTCCCATTGGTTCCAACTTCTTAGTTCACCGCTTGTAGGTTATAATAATAGCGCTTTTGTTGGCATATTTTTGTTTTGTGGATTTTGTTGTTATTGTAGCTGATGCTATTTGTTAATTGTCGTTTTGTTGTAGCGCACTTTCGCATCGGAGCTTAGCATTTTGGTTTTGAGCGGAAAAGTTGGAGCATAACCAAATTATAGGTTATTACTCGGCAATTTTTTTTTTTTTTTTGTTGAAATTATATTTGAACACTTTGAATTTATGGATMAGGTATTCTATTAAAATTTTGCCGCTTTGGGTGCAAGTCGTGGGTATATACATATCCATACAAACATTTTATATATGCATATGTATGTATTTGCAAAACATAGAGTTTAATTGAGGGCGGTCTTGAGAAAAAGCAGTCGGAAGAATGATGAGATTTGAAGTATGCRTTTAATTGGCAATAAAACACCGTCTAATTAAATGATTACTCCATACTACCTATGTATGTACTAATAAAGACAGTTGTTGACTAATAGGGAAGTGATGCTTTTGCRGGCAACCGAACATATGGGGATGTGTATTATGTATAACGGCACTATAAACAAGATAAGGGATGCTAGTCACTGGACCTTGAGGCAACAGCATACTTGTATTTAAAGCTTATACTTTCAAGGTGTGCTTCCTTCATGCTTCAKATTGTAACTTGAGTAAAAATTTAAATATCCTTATGAAACTTAGTATACGGGTTCCTTAGTACAAAAAGAAAACTACGAGTTCGTGGATGGGCGTGGGCGTAATCGGACCACTGTCATGCTTACAAAACGATATTAATCGAAAATCTACAAAATGCCATTGCTAAGGGATAAATTAAAATATAAAACTGCCATTTGGTACAGACGATCGGGGCACCTTTGGACAATAAAATTAAAAAAAAAAGTGTACATATTTCCTAAACTACTAAGCCTACAACAACCAAATTTGCTGAGTACGAATCTTATAAAACTGTCTACCGACAGTGTGAAAATGGATGAAATCAGACAATAACCCCGCTCGATACAGTTCAAAACCACTAAAAGCGCAATAAATCAATAACTGAAAATGCCAGAGAAATTAAATTTTACCTCCGTGATGGTATGAGAGAGTTTTATGGGAGCTGATGCGAAAATTGTACGATGGGGATGGTACCGTCCACTTTTAGGTGAGATCCCATATCTTCCGAAAGACCGATTTCGACACAGTTTATATATTTCTTTACATAATTACATATGTCTATGCCACAGTACGAAAATGGATGAATTTAGATAATAGCCACGTCTACTTCTTATATTTAATCCATTTGATTATATGTATATATAAAATTGCTTGGATTTGGTCGTTTTGATGGCTGTTACTTGATTTATAATCAGTTTGGTTTATTCATAATGATTAGACTTACTCTATCGCACTTTCAGTGAATGAGCCCAAAAAAAGATAGCTCCGTTGCCATCTTGTTGTTAACAAGAAAATTTTGATTCGCGCTGAACCTTACTTTTAGTTGAATGGCTATGTTAATAAATCAATTTTCAAGTGCTGATAATGTCATTATTAKAGGCCGTTACGTCCTCAACTAAAAGTTTGCTGGGTTTTATAGGTAGTGGGTATCATTGATTCATATATCTTCAAAATTGAAACCGGCTTTATTGCTACAGTTAATGGAGAACGTTATGGAGTCATGATTATTGACATTTTCGTGCCTGTGCTGTATAGGCTGTTGATGTGGGKGATCTTTGGTTTTAACAAGACGGCGCTGCATACTTAAACGACAACAAAGCAAACAATTTATTGGAGGAAACCTTTAGGGAGCACRTGAGYTCGCGTCGTGACCGCAAAAGTAGTGCGATTTATTATCGCTGAACTATTTTTTATCGGGTTATGTGAAAATGCTTGTCTACGCTGATAARCCCGAGAGGGTTGACGCCTTCGCAGCGAATATTCGGCGTGTTATTGTTGACTCGTTCTCTACGTTTTTTTTTTCAAAATTGTATTATTTATTTATGAAAAATATGTACAATCATAGCTATTATACAAAGCATTGCTCATCTGAAGCTTTAGCATCTTCCAATATTTCTGGCAGTTAGTGAATTTCAATTCAAAAGAACTGTGCCGGATTGTCGACTGGAAGAAACGATAGTCAGAATGACCAATAGCCAAAACTTTCTAGACGCTGATAAGTTGTTGTCGGTAGCAGCTCCAATWAGGGTTTCGTTCGGTTTTAAAASCTTAAAAAATAGTATACYGCGCCCTTYTATACCCTCCAAATATAAATMATTACAGATAATTGGCATTGGATCGTTAATAGAGAATCCACCAAAAAGTGAACGGTGCCACGTCCAGCGTGTTATCTTCCGATTTAATCCATTTTCACCCTGCCAGTGAGAGTTCTTATAATATTATATGTGCTGGGCAAATTTGGTTGTTGTAGCTTAAAGGTTTAGGGTATTTGTACATTAAACATATTAGAAGCCATGGCCAAGCCCACTTTTACAATTTTTTTTTAATGGAAATGACTAAATCAACTCAGCTTGTCAGGCTGATATTTTATGTAATATATTGTCAAAAAAGTCTTGCGGTATTTTCGCTAGTTGGCACTTAGAGCGCGTAGTTCTAGTTTTATTCGTCGTCATCGAGTCATGCGATACCTTTTTGGAAAGCTCATTTCACGTGTTTGACTGATTGTCGTTTCTTTCAAGTCGTTCGTGAGTTATAGCGTAGCAAACATGGAGCAAAATAAAGAGAAAATACGGCATATTTGACAGTACCACTACGATAAAGGCAAAAAYGCATCTCAAGCCGCCAATAAAATTTGTGCAGTTTATGGATCCAATACAGTTTCCATTTCCACCGCAGAACGATGGTTTCAACGTTTTCGTTCTGGTGTAGAGGTGGTCGAAGATGCGCCACGCTCCGGAAGGCCTGTCATCGAAAATTGCGATAAAATTGCTGAATTGGTCGAAAGAGACCGGCATAGTAGCAGCTGTAGCATCGGCCAAGAGCTGGGCATAGGTCAGCAAAAATGAAAATCTTACGAAATTGAAAATTCAATAAAAATACCGCAAGAYTTTATTGACAACCTAATATATATCTAGTATAATTTATTTATTCCGATGTTTGCCTTTTGATGTTATTAACTTCGTGTAAACTTAGGTGAGTTAACCAAGGATGAGGAGATGTGCGATCTAAGGATCTCCGCGCATACTCAAAATTTTGTTACGCTTCTTACTTTTTCTACATTGYTTTTTAATCTTAAATTTATCGTCAAACATTTTCTTTTATGCAGACAAAATAATAATCTAATTGGCTTAACATGCTTTAAATATGCATATGAAACAAGCGTAATTGCAAGTAAATTTCTAAAAATATCCGTCGCTATTAAATTCGCTCCATAAATATACCGYAAATTCCATTCAATWACAAAGCACATAAATAATGCCACATTTGCTAGAAAAAGCACGAAGGCGYACCAAACCGCCACAAATGAAAGTGTGTGTGTGCGGTATAAAAATAAATCATGCTGCTTATTTCGGATATAAATGTGTGTGTGTCTATAAATTGTAGCCTATAAGTATGCAATGCATTTCTGACATTAATTTCCATAATTACACTGTTGGTCAACAATTTAAYGTCGCATCATAAACAAACGCATGTGTTGTAAATAAAATTAATTATCGGCTTACAGGAGTTGTTGCTGTTGTTGTTCTATGATTGTTATTGTTTTCATTCGGTTATTATTATTATTATAATTTTGCGCCGGGTAAATTGYATTGCGCTTACTTGGCCGCCTGTGGACACCATCATTTTTGCATAAATTTGTTCGCCACAGCGGTGGCAATAAAACAACAACAACAATCAGCACAATAACAGTAGTACAACAAGCAGCTGGACATTTTGTGGCAAKCTGTAGATATGTAGCGGGTTGAAGGGGCAGCACTGCGTGCTGCGGGGCAATGACTTGTTGGCGAACACAGTCCACGAGTAAAAATAACTCAATTCGAGAAAGCGTTTCAGTTAGAGAGAAAGAGGTCACATTAATTGTGTACGTCTGGCTGTATGTGTGGGTGTATGTTTGAGCGCAAATATAATTTCAAATAACTCGACTCTGAGATTGCATTGCCGACCAAGGACACACACAAACTATGAGACAGAAGGAGTGCAGATTGATTTCTAGCGGCTGTTGGCGTATTTTTGTTGATGCGGTGTAAAGAGAGAATGAGAAAATGGTAGGATAGGCAATAAAATGAAAGCAATAATCC